TGTGTGTGTGTGTGTGTGTGTGTGTGTGTGTGTGTGTGTTGGGAAGATAAAGAAAGAGAAGAAGAGTCTTTGAGAAAAAGCAGATAAATTGATGCAAACGTAGACGCAGTAATTGGCATCCAAGACTGAGTGTGTGCATTTTTACAGCCCATATTACTTCTGCATGAATGCGGATGTAGGTCAAACACACACACGCACGCACAAACACACACACACACACACACACACACATTCCCCTACATTTACTCCCAACAGACACACACACCAGTCGAGTCCATTAAGACAGCGAGGTCAGGGGCCGTCTTTATCAGATAACAATCCCTGGCCTCGGACAGAAAAAACAAAAAAGTTCCCCTCTGTACACTGATGAGTAGGTGCTCTGAAATCACCCAATCAGGACGCAGCAGCAGGATGAGGTAAGCGCATACAGGTGTTGAGTCAAATGACAAGAAAAAACTGATCGACTAGAGAGATTAGAGTGGCACGTCAGAGCAAGACGAGGAAGTTGTCGCTCACAGCGTCCAAACACATTATTTCCTAACTATTAAACACTAATTACAGTTATTATTCTTATTAAAATGATTACTACGGAGAACATGGAATCTTAAAAAAAGGTAACATGAGCTTGTGAAGTCGACATTACACCACATTTCATACCTCAAACAGACCGAAGCATGGACTAAAAGAGCGCAGAGCCCAACAACATTTTCTAAATCATTTACAGCACTTCTGGTTATTATGATTAGTGTGGAGCTAATGAAGCCAAACACCCAACGAGAAGCATGTATGTCGATGCTAGAAGCTCATTTAGACCTAAGAGTCTAGCCAAATTAAACAACACAGATTATTTTCTTTAAATGCGCCGTTCCTGGTTATTATTATTATTAGTATCATCATCATCCAGCCACTCCCTGAGGCTGCTTCTGCTGGAGGTTTCTTCCTGTTAAAAGGGAGTTTTTTCCTTCCTACAGTTGCCAAAGCACTTACTCACAAGTGGTTATGTGATTGTTGGAGTTTTCTCCGTTATTATTGAATGGTCTTTACCTACAATATAAAGCGCCTTGAGGCAACTGTTGTTGTGATTTGGTGTTATATAAATAAAATTAATTTGTTAATATTACTGTGTAGCACGGCATGCTAAACAACCAATATGAGCACCAAAGCCCTTTTTTTTAAACTTCAAAACTGACAGAACGCTGGCCTGAAAGCCGCGTGCAGCATGTTAAACACAAGCCGTAAGAGTGTGTGCGCTCTGCGGTGAGGAGCCGTTGTTAAAATGCGCCGCAGCATTTTAAACGCGATGCTTTGTGCCTTCAAACTAGGAGTTAAAAGCCTGGCTTGCCTTCGTCTTGCGGAGGCGTAAACCTTTGAACGCGCTGCCAGAAGAGAGAATCAAGTCATTCAAAAACCAAAAGAAACAGAAGTTGAACGTTGAACTTCAAAATAAAGGCCTCCCTGCTGAGGTTTTCTTGGTCAGTGTGAACATGAAAGAGAAAAAGTAACAAAGTAAGAAATCGGGCTGACAGATATTTTCTTGATTAATCTGCAAAATGTGAGGGAACAATGAGAAAAGCAGCATTTAATTGTTCTGCTGCCTTTAGTTATTTTAATTTGAAAGGTTTTCCCACACTGCTGAAGGTGTGAACAGCCACACTTCAGCCTCCAGTTTCAGGACTTCTCTCAGGACAAACAGGTCGTCTGCAGAAACAACAGCTTACCTGCCAGACACCGTCATCTGGCAGCTCGCTGGGTTGGGGGGGTTAACGCCTCAGGAATCTCAAACATGTGAAGCCATGCCCTGCACCACCACAACCATCCACCCACCCCCACCTCCTCTGTGTGATCAGTCTCTAAACCTGTTAGTCCACCTCTGAGAGACCTGCAGAACCCAACGCCTGTGGAAAGGTCACAGAGACCCTAAGAACAGGACAAAACAGAGCTCCTTCAGAATAAAAGCCTCTAAACAAACCTTGCATCAGCTGAGACAGCTACAAATGATTTCTGCTTTATGTGTTTGTTTCTGTGTTTAGTCTTTGTGGTCCTGCACGGACTCATTTATGGAGCCTTTAAGGTTCCTCTGCAGAGGACAGAGGCTGATGGAGAAAACATCCATCTGTGAGAACAACAACTAATGCACTTCCTCTCATCTGTCATGTTTTCCACTCGTCCCCTCTCCATGGAAAGAGGATGCTGCAGATAAAAGTCAAACTGCTCCCTGTTCCTACTTCCTGTCTGACATTTTTAACCCTTCATTGGCTTCTGTCTCACCATGCTTTGGATGGAGGTGATGGCGCTCTGCCTCGTGTTGAATTTGCTGAGCTCCGAGTAATGAAAGACAAACAGCAGCAGAGTCTCAACCAAACACCACCCTGCTGTTTAAAACAAACACACACTTCACACTCAAACATCCACACACTCAAACCCTTGTGGTCACGTGTTTACCGTCAGCGCTGCCTCCGTTCATGCTCTCCGTGCTGGACTGCGACAGCGCTGTCCTCCGGCTGCGGCGCAGCGACCTGTTGGTGCTAGGGCTCCCCACCGGCGTGGACGTGGAAGCACCGTCCCTCCTGGAGAAGATCCCGCTGAAGAAGCGAACCAGGCGCCGCTCGCTGGAGCGTCCCCCACCTCCCCGCAGCAGGAAGCCTCCACCTGCTGCCCCGGCAGCGTCCTTCTCTTCCGCCAGCCGGAGCAGGTCGCTGTTGTCCAGTGTGCGGTTCTTGCTGCCTTGCGCCCTCTCCCAGCGGCTCAGCTCGGACATGGAGTCTGTCTTGTTGAGGACAGCGCCGACCTCCAGTGTCCTGCTCTTCTCTCTGGTGGGGTCGAGGAGGCGGGCTGTGGGGAGCGGCGCAGCCGGCTCGTCATTCTTTGCGGCGTCCTGGCCAATGCAGCCGGAGCTGCTGTGGTGTTTGTCTTTGGAGAGTGCCCGCAGGCGCAGCAGCTCGCCACCGCTCCAGTGCCTGAAGCTGAAGCTGCGGCGCAGCAGACCGGGTGGGCGCTTCAGAGGAGGTGGAGTCTCCGGGGGGCCTTCTGTGGACGGCGCCCCGTTACTTTTAGAGTGGGCCAGCTTCCCGACGCTGCTCATGGGCTCCGAGCTCTGCTCCTCCACGCTCTTCGCCTTCAGGAGCTTCTTCTTCTTCTCGCCAACACCACCGTTCTCCACCAGCGCCTGTGGTGCTTCCTCCACCTCCCGCTCGCCGCCGTCCTCCTGCCCGGGCTCCGCCAGCGGACTGGTGGCCTTGGCGCCCCGCTGCAGCAGCTGCTTCCGGCAGATCTTCAGCCTGCCGAGCTCCAGCTGGCCCGTGCTGAACGTCCTAAAGTTCCGCATGTAGCCGTGGGAAGAGGAGAAATCCTCCGACTCGTCCTCCACCTCCTTCAGCTGCTCCAGCAGACCTCCCCGCTGCACCTCTGCCGACCCCTCACGCCTGAAGGCGCCCACCTTTGGGTTCTCTGCCCGCCGGGGCACTGAGTCCTCATCCTCTAAGCTCTCCCTCTTCACCAGCGTGAGGGAGATCCGGTACACAGTCTTTCTCTGAGGAGCTCCTCTCTCCATCCTCTCAGAGCTGCTACTGTCCAGCAGGTACATCGCCTCCTTCAAAGCTCATGTGAGAAACTGTGAACTGCTCCTTTACTTTAAAATATTCGGATTCAAAGAGAAACTGTGAACTGCTCCTTTAGTTTTATCCTCTGAGCACTAACCTCTGCAGGCTGCTGATGGGTCTGCGGGTAAATCCAGTAAACTAACATGCATTAACTCCATAAACCAGCTCCAAACCCAGGCTTCCCTCTTCATCCAGATGTGTAAACAGCGGTTTGGAACGCAGGAGACACTCTGGGTTCATCCCAGCGGGATTCACGACACACAGGCGCGTCCTCCGCGGCTCCCACGGGGCTCGCAGCTGAGCTCCTCCCGGTGTCTTAGGCGTCCTGCCCGGTCAGAGGAGGTCCTCACTCCGCGCTGAGTCCCGGCTCCAGCTCCGGTGTCTTTACAAACCAAACCGGGCGGGGAGACGCTGTTCGAGTCCCGGACCGTCTCCCATTGTGTGCGCACATCCCCCGCAGCGCCGCGCAGCAGCCAGCCGGGCCTCTCGCTCCTCAAACCCGCTTCACTTGTGCTCCAAATGTCGCTGAATTTCCAGCTGAAGATCCGGACCTCCGCTCACACTTTAACCCGCCGACAGTAAACACCGGACCGGACAGCCACCGCACCGTCCTCCGCTGCACTCTGAGCGATCTCCGCTCCACACACACAGGCACACACTGAACACCGGCCAGCGGCAGCAGCAAAGGATGATGGGGAAACACGGTGCGGAGACCTCACAGGAGCCGGAGTGTTAAACCACGTGTTTATTATTTACTCTTACAGCAGAGCCTGGGCTATTTTAGAAGCTCTGTTAGCGGCACCAACACTGAGAAGGACAATTTTCTCCTCACTATGGCTAAAATATATGGAGGCCTGAAGCTGCCAAAATAAAAACACAAGAAAGAATGAAGTAATAAAATATATATATGCAACAGCTTATTCATAAAAAATATACTAATTGACATTTTAGGTGTTAATTCACTTATTCACTATTTTACTTTTGTGTTTATTTTATTGGTTTGTCCATTGAAGCTTGTTTATCTCTATTTTTGTAATACAATTCTTTTGTCCTGCAATATGAAAAACAAACAGGATGGCATTAAGATTTTCTTATGGAGGACCAAAAGTACTAAAATAAAAAAAATAAATGTGTTAATGAATATATAAATAACAAATATAAATGCAACAACAACAAAAAATTAAAAAAACATTCATGGCTATTAATTAATTTATCAAATTTCACATAAATGACTGCTTCCGATTTGGTTTGCTCCTGTATGCGTTTCATTTTAAATAATACCTGCATTTATTTACCTTCCTGTTTAAATTTAGATTTTCTTCCCTTTTTTCTTTTATTTACATAACCTTTTGAAGTACAGCCCCCTTTTTGCAACAATGAATAATGAATTAGAATACGCACACATATACATACATATACATATACACATATATATTGCAATTATTTTGTTTTTTAATTATCTATTATCTATTATTTATTGTTATTTTGATAATTTTTTTTCCCTTTTCTGGCAGTTTCAGTCTTCCAACTTTGGACACTGAAGCATGGATTTTAGATTCTGGAGCAGGTTTCTCCCTTCAGCAGGCTGGAAACTTTCCTAAAATAAATGCTGAGGACCTGATGACCCTAAGCTGTGGCTTTACTTCCTGCTCTGATCTACATGTAAGTCAGCTGGGCAGTAGCGGGGTCACGCGAGAGCAAACTCCAGCTCTGGTTTTACCGTCTGCACCGCCTCCTCTAAAGCAGGGGTGGAGCCTCCTCTTTCTCCTCTCTGTCTGTCAAGCTCCTTGAAGCCTCCCGGGCAGCCATGGAGGCAAAAGCTGCACCCACAGGGGCACAAAATCAAATTTGAGGTGGAAGAAGCAGCAGAAAGAGGAGCTGAGGAGCTTCTGATGGTGGAATACACACAAACATTTAAGTGATGTTTAACTGAACCTGAGTGTGCACTGATTTAATCCCAAACAGTAAGCAAGAAACATAAAAATAAAGACGCAGAAACTGAAAAGTCTGAAAGAGGTCTCCATCTCCAGAGGAACCACTAGATTCCAACATAGATCTGAGTTTCTCCCTCCTGTTTTACAGTCCCTGAAACACCGGGCTCATGCTGATGATCGCAGTAATAACACACTAAGGAGTTCCGCCTTAGTGAAGTTGAGGAAGTGATTCTGCCTTTAGGCTGGATATCTCCCAACCTATGAAGTTATGAGGAAACGAAAAAGATGGAAAAGTGGCTTCCTTAGATCTGCACACTGGAACATTATGAAGCTGCGGGCTTCTGGGCTGTTAAAGAGCAGATTGAAAGAATAAATCCACCTTAAAAACATTGTTTACCTTCAGGTACCTCACAGCAAAGATTACACATATGCTGTGTTTAGGGGGGTCCTCTTGTGTTTAGACCCAGTGTCACTATGAGCATGTGCAGCTTCATCACCGCTCCAACTTTGAAATATTTAAGGTGGAAGTGAGAAATGGGTCTGCGGTTGCTGTTTGTCACGTGACCTGCGCCTCTTTGATCAGTTTCTAAATTAAAGCGAAATCCTGAGTGGAAACTTGTTCTCTCAGCGCTTTCTTTCATCACGACTTCTCATCTCTGAAGTGCCTCCCTTCATCTCCGAGGAGGAGGAGTGCGGGGGAGGATTAACTCACCCTCCTCTTCCTCACCATCAGGCCTCGGCCTCTGACGCCGGGTGGATGATTAGTGGGATTAATCGAGATTAGACGAGCAGCTGAGGGCAACTTTCTCCTTCCACTTTTCGGTTGGGAAGCACATAAAGGTAGTTAATGTGCTCTCCCCCCCACAAACGAGACACTGAACATCAAACGCACCTCCACCTGACGACAGAAGTACGCAGAGGGTCGCTGCCGCTCAAGCACAGGTGGAAACAGCTGGACGGAGATGGGTAAAGGCTGCAGTTGTCACACGAAGCTGGAAACATTGTGCATCAAGGTGAGGAGGGGGATGGTGGAAGCAAACTCCACGCCGAGATGGCAAATTACACGCCAACGCACGCTGCACCTCCGTGACATCAAACACACCTCGCAGCCTTTCATCCCGCAACAGCCTCGGACTCAGACGTGAGATAACTTGAGTGATGTCACAGCCACCAATGCAGCTCCTGACTCCGGCGGGGGAGTCTGTCACGGCAGGTGGAGACATGAAAACCGTCCTCTGCATGTTTGTCAGCGAGTCCTCGTGTTTCTGAAGGTATGGTTCTCAAACCGGAAAAAAAAACAGCGACTTGTCCTGAGGGACAGTCTGTGTCCTGGAGTCTGTGTACAGCTCAGCTCAACACCTGCAATCAATTTATTCGTCCAATCGGGCAACCATGAAGTCAGACCTTTGTCTGGACATGAGAGCTTCAGTTCATGGACACAAAACGTCACGTTTTTTGGGTCCATGAGCACAAATGTGTAAGTAGTGTATTTCAACAGTAAGTATATTAGTGTAGTAATCTGTTGTGGTGAAGATGGAGCTGAATCTGTCGACTTATTGGTCGATCTACAGTCCTTCCCTCGCCCATCAGGTCGAGGATACAAGCAGCAGAATTGAGCTTCTCCATTTAGACTGATGCTCCACAACCTTAATCCACATATTCAGATATTTTGTGCGCAGAATAGAACGTCTTTGGAGGGGTCCTCATGGCAACCAATCTTTAAAAGACATGGCAACCGATGCATTTTAACCCAAACCTAACTCACCGGTTTTTCTTCCATAATATATAATTTTCTAACCGTAGAACACTTACGTGAGTTTCTAAGACTTTAATGAGGAAGAAAATCAAGTCCAGAAACTAATGCAGCTTTCAAATTAATAGGTTTTAAAGGCTTTAGGGTTGCTGGCTCACTAACTGGTACAAACACAGTGAGGCGCTCTCCCTGTGAGGGCGCCCTCCCTCTTAAAAGGTAAAATCTGCAGCAGAAAGCAAACAAAGACTGAAAT